GGCGCTCTGACTGAGCCTCAGCAAGGTATTGCCCACCTGTGGATTCTCGATATTCCTGTAATAAGAAAGAAGGCAAGACAAGAGCCCCATCCAAGCTTGTGGGGGGGGGCGTGTGTGTGTGTGTGTGTGTTTTAAGTTTGTGGTCGTGTGCGTTTCCATGGGCGAAGCCAAGACGCGCGCGTTCTCTCTCCCGTCCCCCGCCTCCGGGCCCCTGCTGACCCCCTGCTTCTTGTCTTCCAGGGCTTGGCCATGTCTCCCTTCGGAAGCCTCTTCCCTTACCCTTACACCTACATGGCCGCCGCCGCCGCCGCGGCCTCGACCGCCGCCAGCAGCTCGATGCCCCGGCACCCGTTCCTCAGCGCCGTGCGCCCTCGCTTACGCTACAGCCCCTACTCCATCCCGATGCCTTTACCGGACAGCAGCAGCCTGCTCGCCACCACGTTGCCCTCCATGGTCAGCGGCGGCGGCGGCGGCGGCGGCGGGGCTGAAGGCAAAGCCGCCGCAGCCCGGCCTCGGGGGTCTTGGACTCCGGCTCGGAACTCAACAGCCGCTCCTCCACTCTCTCCTCCGGCTCGGCGGTCTCCTTGTCCCCCAAGCTCTGCTCCGACAAGGAACCCACGAGCGAGCTTCAGAACATCCAGCGCTTAGTGAGTGGTCTGGAGCCCAAACAGGACAGGGACAGGTGGTGGGACTGATCAACCAAGGTTTGTCCTGTGGCCCAGCGGGGCGAGTAAAACCAACAACTGGGGGAGGGGAGGAGGTGGTGTTTCCTCTAGGGGTCCTCTCCGAGATTCCCCCTCGTTCCAGACCGCCTGCTAGAACTCTGCGCTGTCTCTCCTACCTCTTGGTGGGACTGATCAACCAAGGTTTGTCCTGTGGCCCAGCGGGGCGAGTAAAACCAACAACTGTATTGGGGGAGGGGGAGATGGGGGCTGTTGGAAGCTGCTATTGACAAAAGGGTGGTGTCCACTGGAGGAGGTTAGGACGGGGGCCATGGATCCTGGAGAGGCCAGGAGGCTCCAGGCTGGCCCCCCTTTCCCCTTTGTTCCCTTGTATGCACAACCAAGAGAGAAAAGGAGAAGAGAAAAGCAGTAGCATTTTCTTTCATTTTTTTTGTCTCTCGAAGAAATGACTTTTGCATAACAGTTCATTTAAGACAAAAATCAAAGCAAGCAAAAGAGTGTCTCCAGTCCTTGTTGACCTTAGTTAGCGGTGGGGTGGGCGGGGTGGGCGCCCCTTTAATGTGATTTCTATCAACTGCGATTGGTTGAGTTTGCAACTTTTTTCTTTTGTTTCTCCTTTTTTTGTTGTGTGGATTTTTTTAAAAAAACACTTCTCTTACAGGATTTTTTTTACCCCATTCTCCCCCCCCTTTTAAAATGTTCCACTTCTCCTAAAACTAATTTTTAAAAGTAGTTAGAAAAGGGTGGGGCTTTTTACTCTTTTAAAAACTCCTCTAATTTCCTTGTCTGTTGATTTTCTTCTCTTTTATTGTACATGCAATACCAAGATTTATCAGTATAATGCAGAGAAGGAAAAAAAAAACACAAGTGGACACTATTGATAAAAGTATTTATGTAATTAATGGATAACTTGTAAATACGTGGCATATTAATACTCAAAATTAAAATTTAATTTATTGACATTGTAAATATGTCTGTAAATAAGGATGCAGCTGTCTTTCTGGTTTTGAAGTCGTTTTCATTTCAACATTCATGGTTCTTTGAAAAGAATTAAAAATTTGTTAAGGAAGGGAAAAATTCATCAGGAAAAAAATATGTGTTTACATCTGCAATGTTTCATTTTGGTTTTCCATGTTATCAGAGGATACAAGTCATGTTGGTGGCATTTTTGTTTAGTGGGAGCATGCAAAAGGCCGAAAGAGGGATGGAGCAACATGGATACAAGGACTGTATAGTAGTGTTATTGTTGGACTCTCCCGGATTCTCAAGTACTGCCATCATTGGTGAAATGGTTAAATAAATATGTTAATGAAAGACCAACAACTTCTGAAGTGGCTATGTAAAAAGAAGGGGTGGGGGAAGCGTCTGGGATATTATTATTATTATTTTTGCCCATTAAAATAGAAGCATGAATATTTATGTCATTTCCACTGTTTTATCCTCGGCATATCAACGTATTAGCCATATCCCAAAGAATATTTATTACTCTGGTGGTAAACGACGTCCTTTTTTTTCGAAGTGAGTCCATATCCCCATGCCTTCAAAGTCAGGTTACTTAGTAAGTCTGTTCCGTGTGACAGACAGATTTCCTTGATGAAACATGTTAAAAAATTTTCCCGACTCGTTTTCTTCTGTTGCCCACCTTCGCCTTTCAAAAATCGTCACACTTTCAGGAAGATGTTCATAGAAATCTTGAAGTTTATGTGGATACCGTGATTGGAGGGAAGATTTTCTTCTTTAAGTGTCGCAACAGCGGTCGTTTTCAGGGCTTACCTTTTGCGGGGGAAGGATCTCTGGGAGAAATAGCGTCCTCCCTCACATCTTTATCTATTGATCAGATAAATAATGCCAGCCCCACACCCGATGTGCGTGTATTTGAATGGACAGACGAGATGCAGGAATTGTCTGTTCAGTCAAATCCATCTTGCAAGCTTCCACTGTTCGTGAACAGTCCCGGTTAAGTACGCGCCAGTACAAGGGATCCGAAGGGAGGGCCAGCCCCGAAAGGCGCTCCAATCTGACCTCTTCCTCGGGAGTAAGTCCCCTTGAATTCGACGGCCTTTACTTACGAGTGGGCAGCGAGGAGCTCACCGACTCCCGTGTGATTTACTCCCAGCCGAGGGAAAAGTAGGGCGGTTTCCGTCTTTCGCCAGAAGTTAAAAGATGAGAAAATAAAAACGCTGGAGTGTGAAGCCAATCCCGCCTCCTGTTACTTCGTTGCTTTGTCTATGCAGATGATGAAAAGGCTTAGAGTGTCAATGAAAGGAATCTGACGGAGACTCTGGGGATCCTACCGTACCGAAAAGCTAATTGAGAGCACAGGGATTAATCAGGGGAGGAATTAACGATAGCCATGATTACTATCATTATGGCACCTGAAAGACTAATCAGTTTTATCTGAAATAAGCTTTATGAACTGCAGCCCTCTACTTAGTGTAGGAAGTGGCCATGACAATATGGGAAGCGCTTCCACACTTTTTACTGGTGCTGTTTTCGGCAACCCTGGAAATTCTTCTTATTACCACTGTTCCTGGAGCTGTTGCTTATTTTATCCTGTTCAGTATAATGCAGAGAAGGAAAAATCAGCGACGCCTCCAAGGGGATGCGACGTTCTTCTTCCTCCTCCTGGAGTCGCCCCGTGCTTGGGACAGAGGGAAACGTGGATCGCCTGCCCGGGGGGGGGACACCGGCGAGAGCGGAGGCCGGTCGCTCTGGAATCCTTTTTGGTCTTCGGCGGAGCCTTTGAAGGCCGCTGGGTGGATGGAGGGGCCAGATAAGAGAACCTGCAGGGCGTTCGCTGTGTAATCGCGCCAGGCCGCCGCAGCCACGACCTGCCTTGATAAATTGTTGTTTTTAAGACCTCCCTCTCCCCGCTGTGTGGCTGCTGGTGCGATTCAACCTCCGCCAGCTGAAAATACTGTAAACGATCACTTCCAGCCTCTGTCCTGGGGTTGGCGTGTGGTGTTTGCCAGTCCCCTTCCTGCACACACACACTCCTTCTTCTTCCCTGGACTCAGAATTATGTCACTTGGCGATAAACACCAGCCTCCCCCGCCCCGCACGCCGGTCCGCTGGTTGGTTAAAGCTGGAAATATATGGCGAAATCTTTATTAATAGTCCCTACAACCCAGCGCTCCTCCGAGTTTTTTCTTTTTCTTTTTGTGGGACGATTCTGCGAGTTAAGAGTTTTGGAAAACATCTGGTCATTAAAGCTATTCGCCCCCCTCCCCAAGCCTTGGGAGTTTTATATAGGCTTCATTTGATCACCTCTCCCCCAAGAATTCTAAGGCGAGGGGCTGAGAGTGGGGGGTGCCTCAGTCAACAAACAGAGTTAAAAAAATATTACAGTGTAAGAAACATGTCCTACATGAATTTGACCCAACTCCGGGAGGCAGTGGAAGACAGGAGGGCCTGGCGTGCTCTGGTCCGTGGGGGTCGCGAAGAGTCGGAGGCGACTAAACAACAACAACGAAACATGCGCCCCTCGGTCGTGCTGTCCTCTGACTGCCCCAATGGTTATGATGAGGCTGTGCAGGACTGGTTCCATTAAACCACGCCGGGGAATGAATGAGGCAGCAGAGGATAGCTTATCGTTATCCCTTTACCGGTTTATGTTGAATTCTTGGTCTAAGAAGGCTCACGGGGAGGAAGGCGGTTATTTGGGACCTTCCAGATGTGGCTGGACTACAATAGCTATCAACCCCAGCCAGCGGCGAGAGACAGTGGGAGATGTAGTCCAACCACATATCACCCAAATTAAATGACATTGAACACAATCGGGGCTTCCACATAAACATGTTCAGCATTGCGCAGTGTTCTTGGTGTTACCGTCATTCTATTGGAACGGACTTTAAACGAATAATCCAGCCAGCTTCCCCCGACCTCATCTGGAAAGACGCCATCGCTTCCCTGGCATATCTCCGTCCGGTCCTTCTTGCTTCAGACCTTTTGGGCTGTTGTTTGGTGTGTGTGTGTGTGTGTGTGTGTGTGTGAGAGAGAGAGAGAGAGAGAGAGATCCAAGCCTGTTGACAGCAGAACGCCATAGTCCTGAAGCCCTTGACGATGAAAGGGAGGTGGACTAAGAGTCTTTAAACGTTACCTTTCTGGACTACAGTTCCCAAAATGCCTTCGACTATTTGGGAGATTTTGTCTGAAGCCAGAGGGAAACACACCGAGACTCACCCATCTCAGGCCGTCTTGAATTCTCCTTCTTTTGTTGCCCTCCCCCACCTGCAGCAGAATCTCCTCCGAAGGAAAGACGGCAACCGGCAATTTTGCAAAGCGTAAAGCCCCCGCCGGAGGATTCTCTTTGTTTCGTCCAAAAAAATAACTCGGCCAAAAGCTGCTGCTTTTATGCATATGTCTCCTCGAAGGGAGGTGAGATGCCTGTTCCCCCCCACCCGGCCAATTAGAAGATCCTGCGAAACTTTTGCTGTGTGAAACAAGTTTTGCTAAACCATGAATACGGTTTCCCTCCTCCCCCTGTCCCCCCACCAACAGTATCTTGCCTTTAGTTTTATTGTTTTCAATGTTATATCCTGTCTTTTCAACCCAGCCAGACAGCCTCTGAGGTGAGCCATGGTCGTGTCTTGAAGCAGATGTTTACATCCAGGAAAATGCACGCACATACACACACAAACACACACCACTGCATGGTGAAGACAGAAACTGGGCACTTTAATTTTTGGGATTCCAGCTCCTAGGATTTATTGTATGAGCTTCAGCGGATTCACCAGCTACACCCCATCATCTCACCGTTGTCACAGGACTCTCTTGCTGCTTTGGAGCAACAGATTGGTGGAAACTGGCACCAAGAACATGAACCAAAGAACCTCTTCAAACCTGACCAAGAAGGCTACAAAATGCTCCATGAAAGAAGGACCTTTGTGACACCTTAAAATCTAAGAGAGGGATTCTATTGGGGAAAAAAGGTGGGCAGACTGTTTTGTGGTTATTGTGTTTTCTTGTCTCTGTGGCAGGCTTACATGGCTGCTTCTTCAGCAGCTCTCACT